CGGGAGCGGGGGCGGGCGGAAGGCCCTCCGGGCGCCGCCCCAGGTCATTTGACGGTCGACCGTGGCACTGCATTTGCAGAGCTCATCCCATTTCACTAGGCCATTTATGGAGGGAATTATTTGGCATTAAACCTAGGATATTCACTACTGGTTGCTTTCCCTAACCTATAAAACATCAATAACGATAATAAAGATTTACATATTGCATTGTTGTGGACCATGTGAGTGGTATTATTTTGGGATAAACATTTCTTCTTATATTCTTATACGAGCTCTAATAGGTGTAGATTAGAGACTGTTGAGAGGGATAAATTGACTTTCTATTGAATTAGTAAGAGACGTTGCTTTTTGATATTTAATGTGGATTTACTTAGGTATTTTTAAGTAAGGCTTATTTAGAACAAAGCAGAGGAAAAGTAATATTTTTTAATTATGGAAATTATTAACATGGCGTGTATATACTTTTTCTACAGTGTTTTCTCATTTGTTCACTGGAATCCTCCGAATCATGAGTGTTTTCGTGGAAAGATGTAGTTTTGCCGGGGAACAGAATTCTCTTTTTTTAAACAAAAATCATTGTTCAAACTAATAATAATAATAATAATAATAATAATAATAATAATAATAACGTGTCTACTTTGTAGATGTGGTTCCGTAGCGCGATGAAATCATCATAACCAAGGAGGCAGAGAAACGTTTAAAAAAAGAGTTTGGGAATCGAGATGAGCCAAGTTAGGGGCGTAAAACACTGATCGTCGCGATGATGATAGGAGCTCTGGGTTTTGTGTAAGAAGTTGGCTCAACTCCCAGATCACTCAAAAGACTGGGAAGTGCAACATTGCTCTATTTGGAGCAGCCCACATTTTGCGCAGAGGATTGTGGAGGCGCCAAAAGGCCCGAGATTTGCTCCTTGGGATGCTCGTTTGAATCTGGAGTAGGTTTTATATTCAACCGACTCATAAAAATCTTTGTTCGTGAAGTAGAGGAATCCAAACAATAATAATAATAATAATAATAATAATAATAATAATAATAATAATAATAATATAATAATAGGAGTAATAGTAATGATAATAATTGTGATGATCTGTATATGAGGCTCGGGCTGTGACCTTGCCTAACCACAAATCGTAGACTATAAAAAGGAATAATCAGTGGATCCTAATGGAAATGTTATTCACCGTGGAGAGTTGCTCGTGTGTCGCAAAGGGGCAGGCGCCGGCGCTGTGGCGGCCGACGATCAGCTGCAGCGGCGCTCCTCTCGCTGGCGCTGCGCCGTGGCCGCGCGTGTGGTTGACCTCCTCCGCCCACCCCGCCCGCCACCCCGCCACGCCCGCGCGGGGCGTGCGGCCGCGCGGAGCGCACGGCGGCGCCAGCGCTCGCGTCGCGTGTCGCACGCCGTGCGCGATGCCCCACGCGATGTTTGTTCGCGCCCCCGCCCGCTCCCGCCGCCACGCCCACGCGCCAACGCCGCGCGATCCGCGGCCCGGACACCTCCGTACACCGGCCTCCTATTACCACATTCTCAAACATCGGCCTCCTACACACATCTCTCGATCACCGGTCGCCTACACAACTCTACCTCACACTCGCTTCTCTCGACTAGCGGTCGTCCGTGCCCGCCCCCGCGCGCAATCCCCGAGCCAGATCCGTTCGTGTCCGCGAGCCGTGCGCCGGGGGCTGCCCCGGCAGTCCGCTGAGGCCCTCCCGCGCTGTGGCGCCGGCAGGCCCCCGCCGCGTGGCCTCCCCCCCGCCGTCGCGCCCGCCATGCTGGCGTCGCCCCCCGTCGCCGTCGCCGTCGCAGCCGCGTAGCGCGCAGCCATGCTGATCCGCTGGAAGAAGGACAAGAGCTCGTCCTCGGGCGCAGGCGCGGGCCCGCCGCCGCCGCCCGCGGCCAACAAGGGCTCCACCAAGAAGAAGAGGAAGTTCGGTCGAGAAGGTAACTGCCGCCCGGCTGCTCCGATCCCCGCTCCCGTTCCCGTTGCGCCTACAGGTTACACATTTGACTTGCTCCCGGTTGGCGAAGGAGGTGCTTCATGTTTGAAGTTGTTCTAGTCCTGTGAACCAAGGAACGTGCTTGATGTTTAAAACTGTGCTAGCCCTGCCGACGAAGGAAGGCGCTTAGTGCTTAAAACTGCGCCAGCACGGGCTGCTAAAACGTCGGCCTGTTCCTACTCTGCCAGTGCCAATGTGCGGGCGCACTTTGACTTCGTTTACTTACGTGATCGATAAAGAAAATATGTTCCCCCTTTGGGGAATGTCCGTGGGTGACATGCCTCGTGGTTGGATGCATGTTCATGTGCTCCCGTGCTAGGACATGTGGGTCATATGCGCCCACGTATTTGGAAGGAAAGGGCATGGCGCTTGAACCTTGCTTTCACAGGCTGTGGATACCTGCTCTAACTTTGCCCCTTCAGGATACAGCAATTGATAAACGTCTACTTGCAGATGAGGATTGGATCAGTTCCTGCAAAGGCTGCTGGCTCAGCTCTGCTCACGCTGGGTACCTGAAACGTGAGCTTGCACTCACATTTGTTCTCATGTATGCAAAAAGATCGCATTAAAATAAAACCTGGGTAGGCTGCGAATTTCCGGATGTTCTCAGTCTGAAACTTGCAGGCCACGAGCTCACGAAAAGTATTTGACGTTCACATCTTACGTTCAGAAAGTATTACATCCTGCTTCCTTTGACTTTGCTTCTGCGGAAGTTACAACCACGTGTCCACGTTCTAGTGAAAGAAGGTGCTTGACGTTGACGTATTACATGCTGAAAGTGCCGAATCGAGCCTCCTCTCTCTCTCTCTCTCTCTGCACCTCCTGGATGTCTCCCGACATATGCACAGGTGCTAGTGACTGGCGATTAAATCTTGTCTGCAGAAGGTACAGTCTCGGAAAGCCATTGCGCCTGTTGTCCTTGACAGCTCTTTTCTCGAAGGCGCATCTGCATAACAAATCTCGCCTACTAAGAGGTGCTTATCGGAAAGAAGATTTCTTTTCCCAGTATTAATTACGCAGAAAATTAAATTGTTTTATCTAAAACAAAATAATGCTTAAGATTCTTACTTTAAAAAAAGTCGCTGATATATTTCCTTATTCAAATTTGTGAAAGTTGCACCAATTAAATTTCCGTTTTTAGGATTTGGCTGGGTATGCCTTTTTGGATTTCATAAAAGTTCAATATTGAGCCAAGAATTTTAGAACATTGATATAATATACCATTGATAAATAAGAGATAAATGTACTTCGATGATTAGTATCTTGTTGACATTGGTATGCAATTTCTAGTTCCTCGGCGATCGCTGGTAGTTCACATGCATTTGCTGTCATTATGAATTTTATATTAAGAACATTCTTCCTAAAATCCAACCTTTCAGATTATTTTCTTGTTTCACTTAGATATTTGTGAAAAATATGAATTTTTGTGTTAGTAATATTTAGCAGTTTTAAAAATTAACCTTAATATTATTATCTTTAATAATAATAATAATAATAATAATAATAATAATAATAATTATTATTATTATTATTATTATTATTATTATTATTATTATTATTATTATTATTATAAATGCTCTTATAAATGATGAGACTGTTCAAATAATTGACCGCCGCAGTCGGAAATGGAACGTAAATCTCACGGAATATACACAGTTGCGCTGAAGCAGCCAATTCTTTGAACAGTAAAAACATCATTTATACGTTGTACATCACATAAGTAGCTACGGGAGAACGATGGTCGACAATAACGAAACGGAAAACTTACTCTCGCCTGTGAATATAGTGAACACTTGTGAATTACTATACTATTTTTCCTACATTAAATCAATTGGTAGATTTTGTACATAAGATTGATGATAATTAAAGTAATGAATTATGGTTTAATAAAACTTGAGTTATTATTTTACAATTTCTTCAGTGATGACGAAAACAGAAAGTACTTTTGAAAGTTTAATTAGTAGCTCCTTTTGTTTTCTCTTGATGTCTCCCACGAATATAGCAGAACTTTTTAAATAATGTGGCGAATCATTGTTGGATTCAACAATTTTATGTCTCACGTTAAAGGTAATATGTACTTTTGCTCTTTTATAGTGTGTGTGTGTGTCTTTATTTCAAAGCCAGAAGCTTTAAACTCAATTGGTAGGTTTTTTTTTCTCAAAAATTTATTTGTTTCATAGTTTTTAGAATTCTCTGTGCAATTTTTCGCCGTTAAATATTTTATTTAAAAATCATTATTTGCAGAAATGTAATGTAATGGCTATTTTTTCTGATTCATGCGATTCCATAATTTATATTCTTTTACCTCAGTGTTTGTGGCATGTTATTGCTCTCAATGTGTTGGTGTTGGCGTGTTGAAAATTGATAACCGCATGAATTATTTCCTGATGCTTAAGTGGGTGCGGTGCTGTTGTTGTGGGAGTGATTTACGTCCCCAGCTAACCGTATTGAAACCGAATTCCACAGCGGCCCTTTTGAAGATGACAATTCCCGTGGACGGATGCAATGTCGTACACATGCTTTGCGTACATTTGCATACAGATGGATGGCTCTTGAGTTTCGCAATTAAGCTCGGAGAATTGCTTGCCTTGCAGGCCGTGAAGCATTCCTGCCATTTCGGAACAAGGTGCGCCGCAAGCTACTGTATAGTTTGTTGTAAACGTGACGACCCGGGGCGTGGCGAGACGAACCAAGAAGATTACTGGCAGTACTACTGCCGGAATTTTCGTAGTGGTAATCCCTAAATAAAGTTATCTGGGGGTTAAGACCTTGAAAACTATAAATAAATTATAGATTAAGTTTACAAATGAGAAATTAGATTAAAGTGATATAAGTGCCCTAAATGTGGTTTTGAGAAAATCGAGTATAAACATGATTGACTATACAAAATCGTATGGAAGGCATTTTTTTCCACCGCTAGAACGAGACAACTGTTGGAGCTTTTGGAATAGAATTTATTCACGAAGTAACAGGGAGTTTTTTCTTTACATTCGTCGTAACTCACAAATTGCCAAAAATTCACTTATACTCCTTGTGCTCTGAACTCCTCAAATGTAGTAAAAATATGCTTAGTTACTTTAGTAAAAACATCCATAGACTGCAATCGAGTAAATTGCGTCCGTGCGAAAGTTGCGCTTAGAACCTTTCCGGTCCTCCATTCAAGTCAAAAAGAGTCATTCGATGCGTCTCGTTCAGCTGTTGGGCCAATTAGCGGTTTTTGCAGATCCATCCGGAAGGGTCTAAGAAGTTTATCTAAAAACATGTTTATTAGGCTTCTAAAGTGTGTGAATTACTGTGCTCCTTTTTTCAGCATTTATAAGAATCTAAAAACGTGTTGGGGAGGTAGGTTTCTAAAGGGTCAATCCATTTTAAGTGGTACAACACTGGTCGCTCGACCATCTCGAAAAGAATTCGTACTTTGTACATATTTCTCCTTATGTTTTGGCTGTTCAAAAGTATCTTTAATTTTTAAAAATTTTACCTGGTTTACAAATGGCGGCCATTTTTGTTTTACATCGCATTTATCGCGTTGGTAGACACTCTTTTCTAAATTACTCAGGTCTGGATTGTTCTATCATTCTACAATAAAAATTATTGGTTTCAGTATTCTCTGGCCTACAAATAGAAATATTATTTACACACCTCCTATGTTTTTATTTGGGGAATATTTGCAACCAAATCTATAGAATGAAAATGAGCGAAAATCGATTTTCAGAAAGTAATTTATCAAAGAAGGAATAGAATCACAGTCTTCATTTTTCTGTGTTTTTACAAATAACAGTATAGTTAATTTTTGTAAAATATCATTGGAAAATACCGTACTACTTGAAAACTACATCCTATTAAAAAAGAAAATTTGGGATTTTTTCCAAATTTTCATTTGTTATATCTTTGTTGGGGGATCTGATAAAAATTGGACTCACGTTAGATCGTTGTGATATTAAATTTCATTAAATTTTCAACTTTTAGATTTATCTCAAAGCACCTTTTTTAAATTGTAAACTTACGCAAAAAAGCTTCATTTCCACTTTGAGGATTCGGTGTACCAAGTAATAATCATATTATTTTGAAGTTATTTTGAAAATACGCAAAGTACAGAGAACACCCAGATAAACTCTCTCATACTTCTAGCAGAATATCTCACCAAATGAAGTTTTCTTCTTTAAACTTCCAATGACCACCTATGCTTTCTGGCAGGAATGTTCATACATTGTATCGGATTTTGGGTGTTAAGTCTCATATCTTCATGTCAAAGTGCGTTCCTGTACCTTTTCTACACTTCAAACAGCAATTTTATAATTGGCCACAAATCGTATTGTACCCCTTTGTAGGTTTCTGGTATTTTGTCACTACATAGCATTCATTAAGACGCACCGTAGACTACAAGAGGATTTTTCGTTACCTTTACACCCCCACTGTTCAAACGGTGCACTGTGATTGGTCGCAAGCAGTAGAATGTAGGGAGGTGACATTGACGCTGGTGTTTTTATTAAACCATCGATGTTATTTAACATCGAGTGTTTTAAGCCGATGTTTTTTAAAATGGATGTTTTATGTTCTATGTTTTTCGGTACTTGATATTTTTTTAAGAGCCGTAGTACTTAAAACATGTCATAATGTCCAGATATTCAAAATTTGAACATTGTTCAGACCAAAGTGACCAATGAAAATGATAAATAAAATCGAGTTGTCTGTAAAAATTTGCCTATAAATTAAGTGTATATTAATTTTGAATTATCCAATCAGGTATGTAATAAAATTTTTGACCATTGGCTGGGACCTGGCTGTTTTGTCAGTTGAATATCAATTAAAATTGAAACATCGAGTCCACAAATTAAATCCCCCGGCATGAACATCAATGATTACTTTATTATTAAAAATAAATGTCTGTCTCCTATTCATTATTTTAAAGCAACGCCGTTCCTTTATAGACCAAATTGCAAG